ACGTTACTGTTGATCATCTGTCCATCATCGTACAAAGCCCGCCCTGACAATTTGATTGGATCGCCAGAGGGTGGGCGATCATACTCGTGCTACTATGGAGCAGAGCCAGACCGAACTTCCCAACCTCAAACCTTGTGGGCGGGACTAAGTTCGGACTGGCACCCAGGCTACAGTTAAAGGGCTCCACAGCGCTTTCTGCCAGAGTGGTGGTGCAGAGGTAGCTCATTTTCCCATCAATGTATTATGTAACCATTTTATTTTTTTAAATCAATACTAAGAAGTGAAAGATTGATTATATTGGGAAGCTGAATATCACGATATATCGCCAAAACGATTATTTCCCACACCCCTAATTGACAGTCTATATATTGAAAGTTATATTTCATAAATTATTAATGGACTGATTTTTACTATTATTTGTGCTTTAATTCTGTTTTCTTATATTTAAATTTTAAGTCTGTCTCACCTGTGAGTCGGACTCTGCATCTGTCTGTGGGTTTGCTGCCACAGCTATAACAGAGTCTTGCTGAATTGCAAAAAAGAAATGTTGCATTTTAAATGTTGCATAGCCTTTTTTTTCTGAATCTGTTTCACCTTTAACTCTGCAGCTGTGCCTACTTGTTTCTCTGTGTTCTGCTTAAAAACAGATTTATGAACCTGTCAACTAATATAGAAGTAATAAAGAATTTTGTAGATTTCTAGAAGCTCTGTATTCTGACTTAGACATATGGAAGTACAAGTAGCTGCAGGTTAAAATGCTGCTGTGTGTTGTCTCTCTTCCAACCACATAGCTACTATGTATGCAGTAAGTAACAACTGAAAATATTATTGTGTCTCAAAGGGAAGTTTCGATGGTGTTAGAAAGATAGGCGGGACTTGGGAGCAGCAGGAGGGAGAGAAAAGAAAAACTTATTGAAAAAGCTCTGAATACCGACAGAAACTTGTGTGGAAATTATTGGTGGGGAGTTTCCACACCAATCCTTCAGAAAGTTACGCCTGTGGTTACATTTAATTCCATTCAGTTTATTTCTATAGCGCCAATTCACAACACATGTCATCTCAAGGCACTTTACAGTTCAACCAGATCATACAGTCAGATTGATTCAATGTTTTCTATCTAAGGAAAACCAGCTGATTGCATCGACTCATTGACTTTTTTAGCAATCCCTCACACTAAGCATGCTTATAGCAACAGTGGAGAGGAAAAACTCCCTTGAAACAGGAAGAAACCTCGAGCAGAACCAGGCTCAGTGTGAGCGGCCATCTGCCGAGGACTGCTGGGGTTCAAGGAGACAGAAGCAGAGATACAAAAGGCAAAAATGGCCCCGTCCAGGAAACATGCAGCCAGGCAGACAAGCTCAGAGCCAGCTCCCATGTCAGAGGATAAAGAGAGCACATCCAGCCAGTCCCAGTCAGAGAAACAGGACTACACTGAAAAACAGGCCGATCTCCAACATCTATAAACAAAGGTGTTGATGGCAGCAGCACAGCTGATA